TATATCAGTATGTATATAAAGGTTTATATTCGCATTCTACTTCTAACTCATAATTTTTGTGTATTTTAATTTACCGGTAATTGAATCTTCATATCTTGACTCAAAATTGTGTCCTCGTGATTTTAGATGTTATTTAAAGTTAGATAATTCTAAAACAAATGAAAGTAAAGGCCTAGCATCAGTTGAAGGAATGTTTGATGCCCACTGCCTTTAAGATCTGAGCTAAAATCAGCTAATCCTGAGAAGGAACAGGTTTTTATCCATTTTAGTCTAACATCATAAATAACGTTATTTACAATCATTTATGATATTGTAAGGTCTTGTGAGATGTGATAACCCTCAAAATAAATTTTCTTTCAGCTGCTTCCTTCTTCAGGGGTCGCCACGGCAATCAAACTCTCATGAAAGATTTGGCAATTGATGCTGACGGCCCTTCCTGATGCAACCAGGTCTCTAACCCACAACCTCAGGATTATAAGACTGTGGCACTGACCACTAAGCTACCGCAGCCCCTTAGAGAATGTGTTGACAATTACTTTCAGCCACTATTACACCAAATTAATCTCAAAATCTGAGTTTCTGACATTTTTGTATTGGCTGTCATGGGTCATAGCGGTCATGAGATACACTACATTGCCAAAAGTATTTGCTCACCCATCTAAATTATCGGAATCATATGTTCCAATCACTTCCATGACCACAGGTGTACAAAGTACAAAATGAAGCACCTAGGCATGCAGACTGTTTTTACAAACATTTGTGAAAGAATGAGTCGCTCTTGGGAGCTCAGTGAATTCCAGCGAGGAACTGATAGGATGCCACCTATGCAACAAATCCAGTCGTGAAATTTCCTCGCTCCTAAATATTCCACTGTCGACTGTCAGCTGTGTTATAAGAAAATGGAAGTGTTTGGGATTGACAACAACTCAGCCACAAAGTGATAGGCCATGTAAACTGACGGAGCAGGGTCAGCTGATGCTGAAGCGCTTAGTGCGAAGAGGTCGCCAACTTTCTGCAGAGACAATCACTACACACCTCCAAACTTCATGTGGCCTTCAGATTAGCTCAAGAACAGTGCGCAGAGAGCTTCATGGAATGGGTTTCCATAGTTGAGCAGCTGCATCCAAGCCATACATCACTAAGTGCAATACAAAGTGTCGGATGCAGTGGTGTAAAGCACGACGCCACTGGACTCTAGAGAAGTGAAGGCGCATTCTCTGGAGTGACGAATCACGCTTCTCTATCTGCCAATCTGATGGACGAGTCTGGGTTTGGCGGTTGCCAGGAGAACGGTACTTGTCTGACTGCAATGTGCCAAGTGTACAGTTTGGTGGAAGGGGGATTATGGTGTGGGGTTGTTTTTCAGGAGCTGGGCTTGGCTGCTTAGTTCCAGTGAAAGGAACTCTGACTGCTTCAGCATACCAAGACATTTTGGACAATTCCATGCTCCCAACTTTGTGGGAACCGTTTGGAGCTGGCACCTTCCTCTTCCAACATGACTGTGCACCAGTGCACAAAGCAAGGTCCATAAAGACATGGATGGCAGAGTCTGGTGTGGATGAACTTGACTGGCCTGCACAGAGTCCTGACCTCAATCCGATAGAACACCTTTGGGATGAATTAGAGCGGAGACTGAGAGCCAGGCCTTCTCGTCTAACATCAGTATGTGACCTCACAAATGCGCTTCTGGAAGAATGGTCAAAAATCTCCATAAACACACTCCTAAACCTTGTGGACAGCCTTCCCAGAAGAGTTGAAGCTGTTCTAGCTGCAAAGGGTGGACCAACGTCATATTGAACCATATGGATTAGGAATGGAATGTCACTTAAGCTCATATGTGAGTCAAGGCAGGTGAGCGAATACTTTTGGCAATGTAGTGTACATTGCCACCAAACAGATAGAGCTGACTCCAAAAGTTATTGGCACAGTTTTAGAAACAGATCCTGTGCATTCAGTTAGCATGCAAAATATTTTTCAGGGATAATCCTCAACCATGACCACACCATAGTTCAGCTGTAAACAAGTCATTTTTGTGTTTGCTAAGGTTGTTTAGCTGTGGCAGACATATTGATGTGGGTTGACTCCAACAGTACACAATTCGTCCCATCCCTCCGCCTTCTGCTGCTGGTCGGGTCACAGAAGCAACAAGTCCAACTCACAGTTCAACATATTTTGTCCTGTATGTTTGTATGAAGCAGGTCTATTTTGAAAGTTCGATTTGTACATCGTCTTGTCGTTGATTTCCCATGGGGAAAAAATTAATATAACATTTAAAATGGACGCAGGACTTAAAATGGATTTTAACTCTTTTTGTGGTGTACCTCGATGATGTTCTGTTTGTTGGGTATATTTGTCTGATTCTGTCATGCTCCCCTTAAACCAGCAAATAGTGGGACACCCCAAGACCTTGGTGAATAGATGCAAATGTGAAATGGGACTTGGTCACAAGACTTAGAGCAGTAATGGGAGAATCCATAAAGAGATGTTTTTATTGTCATTCTGTTACACTGAGCAGCACGGGGGCTCAGTTGGTAGAACTGTTGCCTCTCAGCGAGAAGGTTGCCAGTTCAAATCCTAGCCAGGGTCCTTTCTGGGTAGAGTTTGCATCTTCTCTCTGTGCATGCGTGGGTTTTCTTCTGGTACTCCAGTTTCCTCTCACAGACCAAAAACATGCATGTTAGTCTGATTGGTAACTCTAAATTGTCTCTAGGTGAGAGAGAGAGAGTGAATGGTTGTTTGTCTCATTTGTCTCCATGTGTCCCTGTGATGGACTGGAGACCTGTCCAGGCCAGAGTGTCCCCCACCTCTCACACAGTGATGGTTGGACATGGGTACCAGTGACCCCTGTGACTCACAAAGGAAGAAGTGGATAAAGATAATGGATGGATGGATGAATTCTGGTATAGTACTTCTTCCATGGACAAGATGTTTGCAGTTATTCCCTCCATTCCCCACTCTTCTATCACCTTTCCAGGTCGGCACATCTCCTGTCCAGGTACCGGCCTCGCTGTCCAATCATTGGGGTCACCAGAAGCCCTCAGGTACAACCTGCTTCCACCAACTCTCCATGCTTGTCTTGAACAGTTGAGCTTTTGTCTTGGTTTCAATGCAACGCATTGTTTGATGAGCCGTGCACTTCCAACACTGACCAGTGCACAATGCAGTCATTGTTTACTCTGTTTGTTGTCGTACAGACTGACAGTGTTGTCAGATCAGAATCACCGGGCAGGAAGCTTGTTCTGAGACTAAAGGTGTTTCAAACTGTTTCAGTCGAGACTTCAAAAGTGCAGCCTGCTTACAATCTTGTATATTTCACCAATACCACAAATAACAGGACAGACACTGTAAAATGAATATATTTTCAAATTAATGTACATTTTACTTTAATAAGATCGGAGCACTCAAGGATCAGAGGCCAATTTCAGATACGTGTGTTTGGATGCTTTGCACAACAAACCAACATCAGGACGGCGTCAGGCCAAAGGTTCATCATTATCTCCATGTTCGTTGTTCATGATGTGTTTAAAACCTGAAGGTTATGGAACTGAATGTGTTGCACAAGTTAAAATCATTACCAACCACTAGATTAGATAAAACTGGTCTTGTCCAGTGTCATAGTGTTGATATATCAATGTTTATTATAGACCCAAAAGATCAAAATAAAGTTAAAAACACAAAATAAAAGGACAAAACCCATTTGTCATATTTAGAACCCATGGTCTTGTTCAGGTGGCCCGTCAGTCCCAGCTGTTGCGAGGTGTTTTCCCCGCTCTCTTCCACCCTCTGCCTGCTCCTGTTTGGGCCGATGATGTCGACAACAGAGTCAACTTTGGAATGGAAATAGGTCGGTGTGCGTGTTGTATGTTTGCCTTCCTTTACTTTTTTAACTCACAAACTGTTTTCTGTCCAACACTGCAGGAAAAGCCAGAGGGTTTTTCAAATCAGGCGACATGGTGATTGTGGTGACAGGCTGGATCCCAGGGTCCGGTCACACTAACATCATGAGGGCCGTTAACGTCCCGTAAACACAGGAATCCTCCGAACCCTGAAGCTGCCTGACCCGCTGAAGCCTTCTGCCTCTGATCGTGAATGAATGGGATGAAAACACCGAGAAGCAGCTCTGAAATTAAAACAATGAACTCTGCAGCAGGCAGGAGTGTTGAAGCAGCAGCAGCAAGGAGAGAGAATGGAGCTTGTTGAAGTTCTGTTGATTAAACACAATGACTCCTGCAAGTAAAACTTGAGACTTTACTTCTATTTGTCTTTTGTTGTTTTGTCTGGACTGATCCCTCACTAAATGAACCATCCAACTATTCCATTTCACCTGATCATGAACATTAATAATGTATTTTAAAAGGTTTGCATTGCAATGCTTTATGTACATTATCTTAAAAAATCAGACCACTTCAGTACGTTCTGCTATTTTAACCACTTCAAAGCAGGAGCAATGTGATAGGTAACATAATACTTTTAAATTTGCCTTTATTTTCTAATGTTTTCCCTTAAACAATACATCAAAATTTCTTCAGTTTGTTCAAAAACATTGTTCAATGAAGTTCACTTCAACTTGCTTTACGTTTGCCTTCTTACACTTCTTTTAGCTGTAAACTGCTAATTATATATTTTTAACTACAACTTTTCTAACTGTAGCCTTTATCCTTTAGTGTGCTAAATTTAGCTTTCAGCTATGGTTGAACTAATTAGATGCTTGCCACTCTTTTGCTATTAGTTTTTAGCTGATGTTTAATTTAAAATTCTAATTTCTGATTTGCTCATTTAAGCTTCTTGTTTCAACTTTACTTTAAGTTTTGAACAGATTTCAGCAGAATCATCCAGCTGTCAGGCTTTAACTTTCTCCAGTTGCCACAACTTTTATTTTGGAACTGGGAGACAAATTGTTGTGAACTAAAGAAACACTCTCACAACTAAGTACATGTTTGTTTTCTCAAATAAAAGCAAAGGGGACTAAGAGAAACCTAAATAAAAATCAATATTTGGTGTGAACACGCTTAATTAGGAGCAAATTTCTAGTCACACTTCCACAAAGTCAGGTGTTCAGTTCACCTTAACAGCTGTACAGGTGCTGATGATGATCATTACTTTCTGTTGATTCCAGCTGAAACTCAAACAGCTGCAGGAGGAGGAACAGCCAAACTCTGCATCCCTTTTGTTCCGGGACTCAGCTGAAGTTTCATCACGTCTCGATCACGCGCGTGTCGTACCTGTGCGAAATGCACTCTCGCGCCGGCTTGTGCGGGCACGCGGCCTTGGTGGGGTGGGGGCGAAGGATGATGGGGATGCGGGTGCCATGGTAACAGGCCGCTTGCATCCAGCCCTCTTACATGCGCATTTATTTAATTATTTCCCACTCGTTTGGACGCGCGTCTCCGTGCTCGACCTCTGCGCGGGACTTATGTAAAGAAGTGAACTTCCGTTCTGCTCTGAGGACTTCTGAGGAGCCTTTAAACGCTCAACAAGTTGTTTTGTTTATTTTGAGGAGGAGACTTTTGGGATTGTGAGAACATTCTCGCAGCTCAGACGGGCGGAGGAGCACGCGCCGCCTCTGGACACTCAAAGTGGACAGAAAGTGAGGAAGCGGCTTCCATCAGTCTGATGTGAAGGTGAATCCGGGATCAGGTTTTGTGAAACAGATCTCCTCCGCTTGTCTCCAGCCTCAGACGGACGGGCTCCCCGCGCGCCTTCCATCATGATGGATGTTCCGCTCGGATCCTGAACGTGGATTCAACATTTAGGGGAACAATTTGACTTCTGTCTCGTGCGGCTCTCTGTCATTTTCTGTGCACGTGTTGTCCTTTTTTTTTTTTTTTTTTTGAATGGTTTTAGGTTCGGGTGAATCAGAATGGATCGGCGCGTCTCGGTCTGCGCGTCTGTGATGACATGAGTGAATGACGACCAGCCGTCCTTGATCTTCTCCCCGGATATAAATGTGCATCCTTCCACCTTGTACCGAGCCGGGCAGCCTGATACACGCTGGAGAAGAGGGAAAGAAGCGGAACTGAGTGAACAGCGTGGAAATACACCAGCCTGGCCAATGAGCGTCGAGCGCCGTTATCTCCAGCAGAGCGGGGAGCCGGTGCCAAACATGACCGGCGCTGGAGCGTCGAGAGCGGCTGTGGAGGGGAGAGGGAGGGCCTCGGGCGGGGAGCAACGTTTCAAGGACGAGGAAGGAGGAATGATGCGAGGACATCTGTGAGGACAAAACCTGACTCCTGGAAGAAAATACAAAAGAAAAGGCTGCTGGCGACAGGGATGAGAGGAGGGAGGATTCAGTCATGGGGCCATTTCCAAGGGCACCGAGGTAAGGATGGCAACATTACCAGAGAGAGGGCTGTGTGAAGACAGACCCAGTCTACTTTCCTGTTGCTTTTTCCAACACTGTGACTGAAAATGACATCTTCATATGTAGGATCATCTGTAAAGGTGTGAATATTAAATAGTAGTGCTCCTGAAGGGGTCACCTCCTACAGGTTACCTCTCCCCCATCATCCTCCCCTCAGACTTCTCCTCCCTGAGCTGGGATGGACGGGGCTGGGAGCGTGGGTACCCCTGGTAGTGCTGGGGGCTCTGGAGGAGACAGCCTGCCAAGGCGGACTGACGGGGACCCAAAGAGGCGCAGTAAAGGCAGCCTGCCCTCCCCAGGTTACAGACTGTCCCAAGCATCACTGGAGGGAGAAAGGGGCTCCTTCGGTGCAGACAGCTCTTCACTGGGTGGACGTGGTCGTCGTCTTTCCATCATGAGTTCCTCCCCAAGGGATGGCCTTTCCTTTCGCACAGCGGGCACTCCAACCACACCGGTACCCCTGCCTCTGCCCCCACCATCCTCCTCATCCTCAGCCCATCCTCCACCTCTTCCACGCTCAGTGGGCTTCGCCACGCCCCGCACTGCCCTGGCCTCCACCTCGTCCACTGGGACAGGAGTCATGGTAGTGGCAACCGGTGCAGAGACGACCACCACGGCCTGTAACACCACTGCAGCTGGGACCCCCGAAACTATGGGTCAGTCCGGGCTTGGTGGGTTTGGCATAAGCCTGGATGGAGAGGATTACAGCAACTCCAACCAGAGCACCTTCATCCAGAGGCAGTTTGGAGCCATGCTTCAGCCAGGGGTCAACAAGTTCAGCCTGCGGATGTTTGGATCCCACAAAGCTGTGGCCTTGGAGCAGGAAAGACTCAAATCAGCAGGAGCGTGGATCATACACCCTTACAGTGACTTCAGGTCAGAGCGACTCAAACACACACACTCCACAGCATGCAACAGAATCTGGGAAGTGAAACAAATACCACTTGTAGCATATCAAACACAGATTATTGTGCAACCAGGGTGTACCCGCCTCTCACACAGTGATAGCTGGACACGGGCACCAGTGACCCCCATGAGCTGCAAAAAAAGAAGTGGGCAAAGTGGATGGATTGATTATACGTAATGTAGGAAGAAAAATGGATCAAAATGTTTCTTGAAATAGCTCACTTGAAGCTAAATTATGGGCACTTAAGGGGAAAGAACAAAAGGGAAAGAAAATTAATTAATTTAGTAAAGTCCTCCGGTTTAATGAGAGGAAATGGATAATGAGAAAATGGAAAGGGATGCAAGAAACTAAACATATTGGCCTTGAGATGTGATGGTTATAGGAAATTATCTGGAGCAAACAGTATGTGCAGGATGTGCTTGAATTATACAAATAAAACAGTCTTGGATAAGATGAAAGATGCAGAAGAATGAGTTGGAAAAAATGACAGAGCTTCTAGAATGCAACAATGCCAACATGATGATATGAGAGAAAAACTGTGATAATTTGGGGGGCGGAGTGCCAGAAAAGAAAACCAATTCAGTTAAAGAAACAAATCAAGCAGGTAGAAAATGAGAAATCTGAGAGGATAAACCTACTCAGGATGTGCAAGATGCCGTCACAGTTTGATAAAATGTCATTTCTTAACATTTGAAGAATGGATCAACCTTCGGACAGCCCTCCCTGCTGATGACTTTGAGGCGGTATCCCACTGAGCAGTGACTGTAGGGGGCTAGTTGGAGACACAACATTGCAAAAGAATAAAAAATAAAAAGGCATCCAGATTTTCTCTTGAAATCACACTTAACATGTTTGCACAAATTTGGGACAAAACTGGATGTGCCTGTACAAATAAACAAAATATCTGATTGTAGTGCTCTGAAATTATGCAACTTTAAAGGTTTGAGATGAGTTACACTCACCCACAAAAACTTTGAGACTATTCTGAGGGGCGATTTGTGTGGATTTTTTATTTTATTTTGAAATGTTAAAGACTCCAGTGAAATGAGGGCGAGGCTCCACAACTAACTTGAGGAAATTAAGAGACCTCACAAACTTTTGAGGCATTTTTTGAAACTTGTGATGGCTGTTCTCAGTTTGTCATCAACACTCTCAGCCCAGTGAGACGCTGGTTTTCCAGATCGTTCTGTCTCAGAATTTGAACAATTGTTGATTCCTGGTGAATCGTTTCAAACGGTTATTTTTGGCTTCATGCGAGAAATTTTGCAACTTTCAGTTTTGTCTTAAACGGAGGCAAATGCTGTTGCTTTCCACTTCAGTATCATTTTAATTTCACACGCAGTGCTAGTCTTTGCAGAATCATGGAGCTTCGTTAGTTTTCACTTCAAATACGTGCAGAGGGAGTGTCAGCCTTCGTAATCTCCAGACAGACTGCAGCAGTGACTTGATCCTCAAGACTCCTGCTCCACTTTCGACTCAGACTGTGATTTTTTTTATTGTCTGTCAATACGATGATCTCACCGGGAGGGGGTCCTCCCAGGTAAAATGAGGAATGAAGAGGCTGAAAAATAAAAGGGTGTGGACTAAACAATGAATCTCATTTCCTTCAGATAGGGCACCTAAAGACATTAATTATTCTGTTCCAGAGTGACAGTTTATGTTTCCTAAATGATGTAGGGTGTTGAAAATTATGCAAGATGAGCGTATGCATTATTCAATTATCCAACTTTTCAGATAAGTGCCTGTAATCTGGAGCGGCACTAGAAGAAACTTCTAAAAGCCAAGTGATAGAAAGGAGACGACAAATGACCTCTAAAACAACCGTATGTGCTTGAGTGAATGTTGGGGTTTGTGTGTGGAAGTATGTGTGAAGGCGTCATCATTACCCAGTCTGCTGATAAGCTCCTCGCTCCGCACTGCATCATAAAAAGGCACGATGCTGCTGCTGCTGCACTCAGAATACAGAAGGAGGTGGAAATGACTAAAGATTCATAGCCATTGCACATTGATGGGCTGAAGCCAGCTGCCATGTGTTCATCTGCTCATCTGCCAGGCTGATGGGTGGTAGAACTTGTAAGGAGCTGACCTCTGGCCAGCTGCAAATGGGGAGCCAATCACTGCCCACAAAGGACACACTTGGCCTTGATTACAGTAAAATTAGTGTCTGGTTTTACAACAGCTGAGCAGGTACATGCAGGTCAGCCATCGCCCAGCACCTGTTCACACTCAGAAATGAACCACTGATGAGACCATCGAGAACAGCTTTGATAGCATTTGCAATTCCTTTGTGTGTGTAGTTCAACTTCACATTACACAGGTGCACACACGCACAGTAATGTCCAGCTGGCGCCAGTCCACCGTGTTGCATCAGTCTGACCATCAGACGAGATGTTTTCACGTCAAACTTCATGAGAAGTTGGCACATTTGTTGTGTTGGTTTTCTCAGCGGTTCATTAACCCAGGAAGCCTCAAGACCGAAGGTAAGATACCAACGCAGACATGTTCCTGTTTTTAGTATTCCACATCGCTTTACAATGTAGCTGTTTTTGTTTCGTATTTTAATATAATTTTCTTTCATTTATTTTTTTTTCAATTTATATGCTTTCTTTTTTGATTGTCGTCATTCTTTGTCTAAAACAGGTCTCTCTTGTAAATGAGTCCTCGAGGCTCAGTGAGACTAACCTGTATAAAGGTTGAATGAATGAAATAATAAATCTATTTACATTAGTTACAGGGCCTGACTTGGGAGAAAATGGGAAAGTATCGGTGGACGCAGAATGAAGATGATGTTTTTTTTTAAGGCAGTGTGGATCTTCTAATCTGTTAAACAGAGGTTTACTATGGTTGAAGGAGTTCAGGCTTGGAGAAGATTCCAGGTTCCAGGAAGATGTGTGGCAGGTGAGATTCACAGGTTGGTGTATGAGTGGCAGGTGGGACCAGGGTGAAGAGGTAAGTGAGAGCTCTTTCCGGTTGTATGTCCGTATGAAGAGGTCCAAGGCAAACTCAGGCTGGAGGACGAAGGTACATCTCAAACTTGAAGAACACAGGAAACAGATTCTCATTTACAAGGAGCACAAGAAAAACAGGATTGATTCACAATATCTTAAGTTCAAGGTTCTTTCTTATCATTCGCATCACATGTGGTACATGAAGTGGAATGAAATTATGTACTCAAGGTCCCAGTCCCAATTCTATATAGAACGACAGCCTTTTTATTGAAAATGAATGGAGGAACACAGTTTGAGAAAGCACTATTTCACATATCTGCTGTTTTTCACAAATATGTCCTGTCCACTGCAGACGAGTTCACAACTCTGTCAGAATGATCAACTCTGAAATGATGGAGAACACGGGAGAAACATGACGCTTCAGCTCTTCTCTCACAAATGAGTCTGTGCTGATATGATGAAAGAATTATCGACATAATTAATTAGTCGTTCCACAAGCCTAAATGAAAGAAACAATTTTGCTCTTTTGGATTTAAAAAGGCTCAGTTAGAACAAAACTAATGGGATCTGGACGGATCATCGGTGATGTGTTCCTGAGGTATTGGGACAACCTCATGTTGGCATGGAGGCTGCACAGCTGCAGAAAGAAAAGCTTTGCAGAGAGTGGTGAAGGCTGCACAGAAGTCTATTGGAGTCAGTCTCCCCACCATCACAGACATCTACACCTCCAGATGCAGGAAGAGAGCCACCTGCATCATGAAGGACCTCACTCACCCAGCACACACACTTTTTGCCCCGCTCCCCTCAGCGTATTTTTAGTTGATGTTTTTTCTTATTTCATATCTTAGATCTTATTACTGTTTTTATATTTTATTGTCGGATGTAACTGGGACCCTGTGTACATAATGTCGTACCACCACATGTGGTACATGTGGTGGAACGACAATAAAGAAACTTCTGACTCCAACTCTTCTTGGAATCATTCTTGTTTTTTTGGGTTACGGGTAAAGTCCACCATGGTGGTTCTGGTGATTACCTGCAATCCTAAAACAACTTCTGCTCCCTCAGTGGCTGATTCAATAGCCCTTCACCTCCAGACACTTCTGCTGCCCACTAAGTTGCAGGCTGTGCAGACGGACACATGCAAAAACCCTCCCACTCACTCAGCCTGCTCTGTTTTCCTCTCACTTGCCTCCACATTGTGATTTTCTTAAAAAACAAAGAGCTTTGAGAGAATTTATTTGTTCAGAGGCTCTTGAGATAACCACCATGTTTGGTCCTAATGTTTTTGTGGCAGCAGTTTCTTTAAAGTGTGCACTTCCCCGGGTCAACTGTGGGCAGAGGAGAGAGAGAAATGCTGTCATTGCTATAGGCAAACGTACAGTGGACACTGTACGAAGGCCAGAACTGGGTCATAATGGCAGCGATACCCTCAGTCAGGGCTTTTGAACAGCTGCAGGTGGATATCTCTTCATGTTCAAAAAGTAAGAGTCTTCTCAGACAGAATGTGGCTGGATTGGGTAAAATGTGTTAAATTTCCTGAATAAGAATTTTCATTCCGTTGAAGGGATTTGCTCCTAATAAGGGCTCATTCCTCCTGGATGATGTTTGCACCTAATCTTTGATCACATACATCCTAGTCTCTCCCTTACACCTTGTTGTATTGACGTGTGGAGGCGCTGCCAAGACTGTCAAAGAAGTGTGGAAGCATTAGCATTGAAATGATAGAGATGTTAGGAACGTAGCCCAATAAGTTATAAATAACTTTGTAACAGCTAGATGTGCAGCTTTAGTGACTTCATTACCAAAGGGGTTAAAGGAGTGGTGAGACGAGTCGTGTAAAAGTGATAAAGAGAAAAAGCTTTTGAAGAAATTATAAAATAATTTGTTGCAGCTTCAGGTTGTCATTTCAAATTTAAAAAATATATATATTTAGGGGTTTTGGACAGTTATTATTTGCTGTATATCTGAATGACCTCAGTTTGGAGAACTGGAGTATAAATAATTGGATTGATGAGCTA